GGGGGAAAAAAAACTATATACAGCCTCATCAGCGATAGGCATCACCTTCATGACAAATGTGTGTAAAGACATGGAGGTGAGAAGAATGGCATATAAGCAGAGGCCCTATTCAAAGGACAATTACTTGATCCCCTGATTTAATCCCAGAAGGGTACGGCCTGGAGTCAAGACACTTGGTAATCAAAAAAATCATCTGTATAGAAATATAAAGATTGTAGTTTTGCAAACCTCAAGGTCAGAAGTGAAAAATGTCTTGGTGAAGGCTAATGATGCCGGTCCTTGGTCATTGCCCGAGAGACTCAGCCATGTGCTCAGATGATGAGAATGAAGAGCTGACTCTGTAATGAGGGCTGCCGTCATCCCTCTCCTTACGTACTCCGCGTGCCTGGCAATCTTTAATTTGACACGCTGTCATTTGTTTTTGTCACTCTGTCTCTTTGGGTAAAATCTTCATAGAATCAGGGAAGGTTGGAACTGTAATAAACCCTAGAGATCATCCAATCCAACCCCATTATTTTACAGCAGAGGAAACTGAGGTCTGAACTTGGATATTTATTGTTATCTTTACTAAGAACATAAGGCGTGATTCTCAGAACATGTCCCTGGGAAGGGACAGGAGGTAGATGAGAACTTAGAGATGTAATGTAATAATAAAATTCGCTAGTGTTCAAAGAGTGCTACAAGGTTTGCAAAGTGTTTTTACCTAAGCGATCTCAAACAGTCTTCAAAGTAATCCTGTAAAGGGCAGCTAGGTGGTGCAGTAGACAGAGCACTGGCCCTGAAGTCAAGAGGACCTGAGTTCAAATCCAGCCTCAGACCAAACACTTGACACTTACTAGCTGTGTGACCCTGGGCAAGTCACTTAACCCCAAAGAGTTAAGTGTTTCAAGAAATTTTTTCAAAGAAAAAAAAGTGTTTCAAAATAATCCTGTGAGGTAGACACTCTTATGATCCCCATTTTACAGATGAGAAAACAAATGGTGAGAGAGGTTATGTGCCTAAGATCACACAGCTATTGAGTGTCTGAGGTAGGATTCAAACCCATGTATTGCCATGTGGGTGCCTCAATGCAGCTTTCCCTCATTCTCATTTTATTTTCAGTGTTTATTAGAAGCTGTGCAAATAAGAATCCAATCTCTCTCAAGGAGGTACAGAATGGATAGGAGAAGGAACGGTAAATTTTAAACTGTCATTAATCTTTCCTAGTCTAAAATGCTAAATTATTAGGACCCTAATAACTGAGGAAAAGACTGAACTTGAAGTCTCACACAAGATTTAGCTCTGCTTCTAAGTCACTGGGCCTCTGTTTCCTCAGCTGTAAAATGAGAGTAATTGATGAAAATTACCTCATTTTTTAGTTAACAGAAATCTATTTCTCTTTCTCCCACCCTCCATCCACCCCACTGGAAAAAAAAGAAAAACAAATCCAGATAGTAAAACAAAACAAAATCCATCACCTCTCTGTCAGTCCTATGGAATCACAGATGAACATTTTGTTCATCATAGTTCTTACAACTTTCAAAGTCATTTGTCTTTACAGTGTTATTATTGTATAAATTGCTCATATAAGTCTACTGACTTCACATATAATTTCACATGTCTTCCCATGTCTCTTTGATATCATCTATTTCCTCATTTCTTACAGGATAGTAACATTCTATCATATTTGTATACCAACAATTTGTTTTCACAATTCTCCAATTGATAGGTAATCCCTTAGTTTACGGGGGGGGGGGGGGGTCAGCCACCACAAAAAAGAGATGCTATGAAAACTTTTATACATATCGGACCTTTTCTTTAGTGTGCATAGGCCCAGCTGTGATATAACTGGGCCAAGAGGCATGCCCTATTTTTCTGTATAATTCCAAATTGCTTTCCAGAATGGTTATATCCATTCAGTGGTCCACCAATATGTCTGTTTTCCCATAGCCTCTCCAACATTAACCATCTTTGCCAATCTGATGAGTAGTAGAACCTCAGAATTGCTTTAACTTGCATCTCTCCAATTATTAGTGATTTGGAGCTTTTTTCTTTTTAAATATATGACTATAGGTAGCCTGAGTTTCTTCTCTTGAGAACTACCTGATCATACTTTAGCTTACTTATCATTTGGGGAATGGCTTTTATTCTTATAAATTTAAGATCTTAGAAATGAGGCATTTATCAGAGGCACATGTTGCAAAAACCTCCAAGGTCCCTTCCAACTCAAAATCATAGAAGATACCTTATATATCCTATGGCTCAAGTTGTAGAGAAAAGAAAATCACATTGGAACTCCAGTCTGGATCAGAAGGAAAAAACAGGTGCATGGAACCACTACCCAAGGACTTACCTGGTTATGTTGAAGGGATCTGTGATCTCATAGAAGAGGACCCCTAATGTGGATATAGGCCATATTCTTTTTCTCCTTCTTTAAATCATCCCATTTCCTTCTCTTCCCTCTGATGATAGATGGCATTCTTCAGTGTTCCTTTATACCATATACAGTTAGGAGAAGGGGAAAAGGTAAAGAGAAAAGTCAGAAAATCTTGGTCAGACCAGAATTAGGTGTTAGGAGCTTTGCACCCCATAATGAAACAACCCAGGAAACCCTGGCTCCATTTGCCTTTAAATAGAGTAGGGTAGAATAAAATGCCTCTGTATTTTGCAAAACTCTACACATTTAACCTAGCTGTGGAAGCCAAGGAAAGGCAGTCTTTTCCCCTCCCTTAAGCTCTTGGTTGTTCCTCATTTCCTTCATACACTGAGCATATAAAAATCTGGAAGATGGGGTGCTATCACATGTTGACAAACAGATTCTTGAAAATGGAGAATCACCTGGAAATGTTTACATAGAGTACCTGAAAAGTTCTCCATCCCAGAGAAGGGGGGGCAGGGCCAAGGTCGTGTTCTACGGTCAAAGGAAAATAGCCAATATTTCTAACACACACACACACACACACACACACCCCTCCACACAATGAAAGAAAATAGGCCTGGTAACGTAGGGGGAAAAGCATTAGACTAAAGTGTGCAAAAGTCCTGGAATCTCCTCCCTAAGCCTCAGTTTCTTCACCTGTAAAAGGGAGATAATAATACTCTAGGGCAGAGGTGTCAAACACAGGAGCCTGTGACCAGCATGCAGCCCAAACCAGACTATAATGTAATTGGGTAATATTAAACAAAATTTAAAAAAACACAATAGAATATAGATAATGTAAACATGCGGTTTTCTAAGTCACTATGCAGCCTGCAGGGATCCTTACCTGTGGTTTAGTGGGCCCCATTTCTACAGGAGTTTGACATCACTGCTCTAGGGTTAGGCTTGAGGAAAGTACTTTGTACCTTACAAATACCAATCTGGTGGCAAAGTGGATAGAGCATTGGACCTGAATTCAAATGTGACCTCAGATACCAGCTGTGTGACCCTGGACAATTCATTTAACCTCAGTTTCCTCAACTATAAAATGGAGCTCTTACTAGCAGCTGCTCCCAGGGTTGTTGTGAAGATCAAAAGAGCTAATATCTATAAAGTACTTAGCACAGTGCCTGACACATGGGTAGGCACTTAATAAATGCTCATTTCCTTTCTTTCTTCTTGTAAAGTGCTAAAGACATAAACTATTTATTTTTAAATATCCCATGCTTGAGGTTAATCACTGGTTTGGTTTTCATTATGTCAGCACTTTTTAGTACAAGTACAGTTGTTTTGTTTTTTGGCCCAGACCTACAACTTGTTAGGTGTTGGGAGCCTCTAGAACTGAAGTCTCTCATTGGATTTTTGTTGTTTGTCCTTCGTTTTCAAAGAGGGCCAATGACTTCAGGAGAACGATGTCTCAACTTGCAAATGAATTGGATTTGAGTGAGGCAGAGCTGTACAGAGTCATTGGGGTCCAGTGGCAAGACATAGGTCAAGATGATTGGCGATATCCCTGATAGAGTAGGAGACTTGGCCTTTCTAAGCCAGGTCTTTCCCAGGTCTCAGTTTGTCTCAGGCAATATCCATTCGGTAAGAATGGAGGCAAAAAATGGCCTAATTTGCCTTCATAAACAAATCAATCTGGAAGGGTAAGACCCTCATTGGATACAGATCTTCCATAACTTATAGTCTTAGGGAGCTGCCCAGAGTCACACAGCCAGTATATGTCAGAGGGGTTACTTAAAACCTTGTCTTCCTGACTGAAAAGTCAGACCTCTCTTCACTCTGCCACATTCTCCCTCACTAGCTCTGGTACCACAGAAAAGTCATATTTCGGCCAGATCTCTAACAGCTGACATTTACACCTAGGGTTTTAAGATTTAGAATAAGCTTTATTATCTCATTTAATCAAGGTGAAGTCTTTTCCTTTCAATACCTACTTCCTTTTCCCTATTTACACAATAAAATTTTAAAAAGAAGACAATTAGAGCCAACTCAAGATTTGCTCCCTAATTAGACTTTCACTCAAGGAGCTTACATCTGTCAGATCTGCCCTTATCTCAGAATTCACCTTCCAAGAAGAACTACTAAACCTTCAGCTTCAAAGCCTCAGTGTGTATAAAAAAGCTTGTTGTATCTTGTCAGGGAAACAAATGGTGTATCCTCTCACTGTGGATTAACTATGGAACCTTCCTCATGACTCCCAAGAGTTGAGACAGTATGGTAGCAAGGGTGCTAGATTTGGAGTCCCTGAACCAAAATGTAAATCTCAGCTCTGCCACTTAATTTCTGCGCCTCTTTTTTTTTTTTTCATGACCTCTAGTCTAAGGTCTCTTCGAGTTCCATATCTATGGTCCTTCTGAGAAGTTCTAAACAATGACACAGTGCCCTGAAAGGAAACCCTTTTACAAACCCAGGCCTTCAGCTTTATGGTTTGTCTCTTATTTTAACACTAGTCATATTCTGAAAACTAAGATACAGAAAGGAAACAAAATCTGTCTGATTGTGTTCTCTAATCCTACTTGAGGAAAGAATCCCAGAATATGTCCTAGGTACTTGTCATTACTTACTTCAGTCTCTTTTTTCTTTCTTGTCTCTCCAGGACAAAACTTTATTTCATCCAGTGAGCAACAGCTGCATTGATTGCAACCCATCAGAGAAAAAGATTTTCATGAACAGATGTGACCCTCTCTCGGAGACTCAGCAGTGGATTTTTGAACACATTAATATGACTATTTTAGAAAAAGTGAACAGCAACATCAGCTCTTAGAAAGAAAGGAGGACAGAGAAGACAATGACATGCAGATTGCAAATGAAGAAATTTTGGCCAGCAGCATCTGGGTCAAAGGAGTCAGGAATTAAATTTCCTAGATCCAGGAAGCCTGTTTAAAGGATTAAGGAGATGCCATGGCAGAGCCCAGTAAGCTGCCACCATGGACTTCCTGCATCTGAACGACTTGGCTGAGAACCTCACCAGCTGCTTCAGAGAACTACAGACTGGCATTTCCCTTGCTGGTCAAGGGCAAACTTTAATAAGGACTTTTCAAAACAACTTGTGAGTTAATAAAGTGAAACAAAATCCTAGCATTTCTCAGGTCAAATCCTGCAGTAGTGAGTAGCTATGAATGGATGCTATTAATTGGGGGAGGGGTGGGCAAGGGAGGGGAAAAAAAAAACTGAGTGCATGACTGCTATGGAAAACCTGAAGCTATCACAGGTTTAGAACTAGCCCCACTTCAGGGATCGTAGGCTATCCCCATAAGTGGACAAACTATACTTTTGGTGCCATTCTCTTAATAAAAATGGGTTAAGCAGGTTTAACCCTTAGACTGCTGCAGCTGACTTTAGAGTACTCCTATCTATATGTCGCTAAAATGGTGGGAGGGAGAGAAAAGGAGGGAGGGTTTCAGGACTTAGAATTTGGACTTTTTTCATGTCCATGCTTTCCAGAACTATCATTCCATTGGTGTGCATACTCCATCTACCCAACACAACTCAAAACTCCCCTCTAACTGAATGGAAGGTGAATAGTAGAGTGGCTATGGCCAAAAACTTGGTCATCCTGAAACCAACCTGATGATGATGATCTCCTTCTAAGCTGAGTTAAACTAACTGGTCTAACAGATATGCAGTCCACATAGTACTCATTACTGAAGTAATGAAATTAATTTTAGAGCTTCCCAGGATCTTAGATCTAAAGCTGGGAGGGACATCAAAGTCATCTAGGCTAAACCCCTCATTTAATTTTACTTTTTGAGACTGGCCGTCTCACACAGACTGAAAACACACGGGCCCAATCCCAATAATGCTTGGTAGGGAAGCTTTAACCCACTCTGTTTTTGGAGCCTGGCAGCCCTCCACTACCATATTGGTGCCAGACTTAATGTGGACACCTGATTGGCTTTAGGCCTACTTCAGCTAAGAACTCCCAAACTCAGGCCTCAGCTTCCACTAGGAACTGGAGGCATGTGATACCCCATCCAGGCCACTTATTTCACAATTGAGGAAATAAAGCCCATTCTCTTGTCTTTTTTTTAACCTGGAAATTTTTTTTTAACAGCTGGAATCTGTCATGAAGTTTCACACCACTTAACTCAGCTAACTTTCAAATTTATCATGTAGTACAAGGCCAGAGAGAAATATGTCACAGGAGATGCAAAACAATATGGCACTTTGGAGAAGGATTTCCTCAGGAAGTCTATATTTACCTTTCCATTCTCTTTAGAGACTTGAATCGTTTGACTCTTATTTAATCATAACATTTACTAAGGCAGGAAATGGAGTTAGATTGATAATGGTTTAATTTCTTTAGTATCCATGAGAAGATGCTTAAAGTGGAATAAGGCCTGACTCCCAGTCCTTAACTGAGACGACTTGGTTCCCAGCAGTTCCATTTGCACAATACTAGGAGCTTAGGAGAAGAGTAATTTTGTTTGTGTTTGTTACATTTAGGACTACATTGTGGAAATTGCTATTAATAACAGAGTTCTGACACCACCTTCTGCTAATGACGAAGTATTTCAAAGGTGAGGTCATTTTTGTTGGCACAAGGGAAAAACAAAGTGCCTTTTCATGTGACAGAATTGTACAAGTGGGGCATTTCTCAGTCTCTCCAGGCAGATGGGAAGACCATTTCCTTTCTTCCTTTTTTCCTTTCCTTTCCAGGGACCTCTATTTTTCAGCTCTCACCCAATTTAATATTTCACGTTGGATCCTGAATCATAGAATTTGAGAGTTGCAAGTTATAGTAATTTTTCTTTGGCCAATCCCCATCCATTTTACAGATTGTAAAACTGAGGTTGGAGATGTTAAGTGATTTGCCCAAGATCCGTATAATCATAGACTTGGAACTGGAAGGATCTTAGAGGTCTTCTCCCTCAAACCGTTCAGTTTATAAATGAAGAAAATGAGCCCCAAATAGGCTGCCTGTCTTGCTCAAGGACAAACAGATCATTTAGGGATAGAACCAGAAATTGAACCTGGTTTTTTTTTGACTCAAATACAATATTCTAAGGTCACAGTTATTGACAAAATCAGGACTAGAATCCTGGCTTCTTAATTGATAATCAGTCCTATGCTGCTTCTTTTATGCACCATGACTTTACCACAATATCACACTATATATATATATATATTATATATATATACATATATATATATACAGAGAGAGAGATAGATAGATAGATAGATAGATAGATAGATAGATAGATAGATAGATAGATAGATAGATAGATAGATAG